CATGGTGCAACTGGAATAATTTATACACTGAGTCTCAAAGTAATTTATGCCGGCACTGATGTTAAGAGGTGATGCAAAACAACTTTGATTTCAGAGAACATCAGCGTTTGAAAAGATAAATTTAATGACAGGGTAACGTGGCTGCCGTCAAAACTTTGTTCAATATTTCAACAACGCGTAATCCTTCAGCGATTTTGAAACATGTCTTGAAAGACTGATGGTACCCGACAGAAAAAAAAATAGCATCGGCGTGTTTACAGGAGATTTCAAAAGGGATGAGAGTGGTGTGCAACAAAATGGCACATCACATGGGTTGTGTGACATGTTGAAAGAAATGCCAGCCAGAGACAGGATGTCTTGGGACATATTCTAACCAGCTGTGATCTACTGCACAGTATTTGAGAGGCCTTGCCAAATAAATATTAGGTCCTTGTCCAAAAAAGGTTTGAGGACTGTTGCTGTCAACATAGGTGGGATAAAGGTGGCAGATAAAATAAACAGCTAAAGTTTCATGTTTCACAGCTGGACAGTTGGATAGATGTATGTCAGTTGTCAGCCATTAATGATCATCATATCTGTTTTCTCTTGTTTTATCTGATTGCTGCTTAGATTTGCCATTAGATTCCCTTTGAGCGTTGTGCATGGGAGAAGAGTAGACACTTGGGAGGTCGGTGAGGCCAACTGCAGATCAGAAACATGCAGCTTTGTGGCCAAAGATGTCTGCATAGACGATGAAGCACAAACTACAGGAAAGAGAGGACACAAAGTTAGTAACATGCAATGGTGGTATATGAATGTATGGAGAGATAGAGATGGAGATGGAGAATAGAGGTGCAAGGTGCATCATGGGAAGCCCCTTCGCAATCTGAGCCTCTAGCAGCATAACTGTTAGCCAAGAGCTCTGTTGGGATAATATGGCACAATAAGGTTTATAGCATACAATATAGCTTGGTCATTAAGAGCTTTGTATGTTAGGAGACACATTTTAAATGTGATTCTGGATTTTAAAGGGGAATTAATGAAGAGACACTAATATGGGAGAAAAAGGATCTCTTAGGATCAGCTGGAGATTTTTCAGAGTTAGCAGGACATCTTGTTAGTAAAGAATTCAAAGTGTCCAGACAAGAAGTTACAAAGACAGCATGTTGCTAATTTCGATAACACTGCGCAGATGACTTGCTGATTCATCATTTGTGTGAGATAAATGACTGGGGAAATGTTTTCTTTTTAGTTTCAGGTTTTTCTATTTTGCAGTCTTTTATTCGCCAGTTTTCAAACATGTAGCTCCAATCTGAGAAACGAATATTTGTAGCCTCTTGGGACATGCGCTATTTGTTTCAAGGTGCTAAACAACAGATCACTTATAATTAAGTTAATAGAAGACTCTTGCTCAAAATGAGCTTTTCAAGGATATGCATGATATTTCTTTCTATAAATGACTCATGTTTTACACGTTTAATCCCTCTGTGTTGTGCAGTGCGTGAATCTGTAAGGTGCCTGAAGTTTTCTGTGTTTCCATGGCTGGCCTTGACAAACACAGACAGACACATACTTTCATCCAACGAGAGGTAATAGACGATACATGTCCATATCAAATATCATATGATATACCAAATAAATTAGGTGTAAAACTAATTTATGATTCAGTTATTTTCTAATTACATCTTTTATTTGACTTTTGATGCTCCATTTTTTTTGCTTGATGCTCAGTAATAATTCCTTGATTTATTTACTTTTTCCTTTTCAAAGAAGATTTTGGGTTTAATCAAATTAACAGTAGTTTGTGATGTTAAGTTGCTGAGTATTAATGTGTCCTCTTTAACTCTCTTGAAACAGTTCTTTAGGGAGTAGCAATCACACCTTGGTGCAAACCACATGTGAACTACTGTGTGATGTCATCATGCAAAACTTTCCTGCTGAGATCTTCCTGCAAAGGCCCAGCATTGTAAAGGTACCATCACATTTCCTTGTAACAATAATGTAAATGTACATAAATACAGGTGTCCTCAAATTTATTCATACCCTTCCATTAAAGAAGGAAAAAAACAGCTGTCACTGAAATAATGTTCTGGACAGGCAGCAGAGCTCCTTCTCAAACAGACTGATTCAGCTCCGCTGTCACAAGGACCGGTACAGGAAATCTTTCCCGCCCAGAGCAATAACCTTATACAACACCTCACACCTGGCAGAGAGCATTTTCAGCTCTCTGCTCTGTGAAATGCGTTGTTTTGCACTGTTCTTTTCAACTTGCACATTTTGTACAGTTATTTTATTTATGCTATTTTAAAAAAATTTTTTTTACATTTACATAATAAAAAAAGAAAAGTATTAAACTTTAGCCCTTTTCTGTTGTGATTGGTGTTTTTCTTTTTTGCTGCTGTATCACAATAATTTCCCAGGCCTGGGATAAATAAAGTATTTTCTACTCTATTCTATAAGTTGAAATTGACAAAAGTAATAATACATAAAAAATGTAATGAAAATCATGACATTGCTTTTGAATTGTGGTTCCACAGAAATACTAAAACAAAACAAAATTATTATTATTATTATTATTATTATTATTATTATTATTATTATTATTATTATTATTATTATTATTTTCAACCACAATACAAAAGCGATGTATTATTTCACTAAATTAGAACTTAGCAAATTTTTACTTGTTATTATTTGTGTCAGTTTTTAGTTATTTGAGTGACTATTGTGAATTTTGCCTTTTCTTTAATGGAAGGGTATAAACACATTTCAGGACGACTGTATATCTTTAATTTACCAGTTTTCAAACATGGAGCTCCACTCTGGGAGCAGATTATTTGTAGCCTCTTGGGACATGTGTTATTTGTTTCAAGGTGCTAAATAATAGACCGCTTATTATTAAATCAATACAAGACTCATTTTACTTTAGACGCTTTTTTTCTATTGCATATACAGCAGTCTTTTGAATATCATCGTTGAAATGCAGCGTACTAACGTTTTCCTGCACAGTTGCTGGTCTTGAACGCACCCTGGTCCTGACCTCCGCAGGAAGCGCAGTGACGCTGGCGCGGTTGTTGAAAACAGACCCGGGCAGACGTTGTTGACATGACTCTGGCAGAGAACCACTAACTGCACAGAAGAGCCTCCCTCGACTTTTTAAGCTTTTATTTATCGGGACAACTTCATACAACATTCACTCGACATGGAGTTGTCTCCCATTATAAAGAAAATAGGTAAGCTGAACTGTTAGCTTGGTGAACGTAGCGTAGCAACCTGACTTTACCTCAACTTATGGTGACAAAACCTACTAGCCGTTTGCTTCCTGTCAAACAATAGCAACTCTCTCTAAGTCGACTCTAAATTACTTTAATTTCGTAGCTCTTTCTGTTCATGATAACGTTGCTAAACTGTGCTCAAATTGGTTAACTTTAGCTAAGTCAACGAAACGCTGCCGACTTGTATTCAAGCTTTGTTAGCTAGTGACTAGCTTAAACAAAACTTAGCTAAGTTTGCTTCAATGTCTGTTCTCAGTTTAACATTATTTTCCCCCTCACAAACCTTAGGTCACTCCCTGGTGGAGATAAGAGTTCGTGCATTGAAGAGCATCTTGAGTAAGCTGCACCATTCTCTGATTTCCGTCCATGACATTGTGCAAGAAAAGATGCTGTTTGTGCATCTTCTGGAGTGGTTCAATTTCCCCGAGGTGCCAATGAAGGAGGAGGTCCTTGAACTGCTTTTAACATTATCAAAGGTAGATATGCAGTGTGCCTATGGTAGATAAAATGCCAGATGAGTGGATCTAAAGGACTGGAGCTACACAAGAGTGGTCTAGCAGATGGGGAAATTACTGTAGAGATGCAATAATTAAGTCGATTGATGAATTGTCTGTCGTCTATTCAATTATTCAGCTCCAGTTTTGATCACAGATGAATTGGTTTGAGTGTTTTTGAAAACGTTAATATCTGCATTCTGTCATTCCAGCTTCTTGCATTTAGATATTTTCCAGTTTCTTTTCTTCACTGTGACAGTTAGCTGAATGTCTTTTGATTGCGGACAACGCAAGTTGTTGTCTTGGGCTTTGGAAACACTGACCAACATTTTTCACTATTTGCTGACATTTTATAGACCAAACAACTAATCGATCAACTAATTGATTACACTTCAACTAGTTAACTAATGTAGGTTTAAAATTTACACACATGCAAATTTTAAGCAGCCATAAGTTTCCTCACGAACTCATTGTACTTTCATGAAACATCACAGGAGTATAAATGTAGTGAAGTCTGCCCAGACATTTTGATGGCAAAGCCTGTGCTGCATACTTTCACAACACCTCACCTAACATTTCACCAAACTTCACGTTATTCATTTCCTGAGTGTTTTTCTCGTTGTTTTGTCTTCAAAAGCATCCAAGTGCAGCCCAGATGCTGAGAGACGTTGGCGCTGTGGACTTTCTCACCCAACTATCTCCTAATGTGGAGCCCAGACTGCGAGCTGTCATTGATGGAACCCTGGACCAGCTGTTTCAGCTACCTGAGCTACTCCCTAGTCATACAGTTGTCTACTCACACGGATCGCATAGTACAACTCCAACAGGTGTTGCAAGTTAAGCCAAATATTTGTTTGTGTTTACAGTCTGTCATGTAGAAAATACTAAATGTTCAAAACCTTATGTTGGAGACAGGCGGGGTGAGATGTGGTGTTGTTTTTCCCCTTTACTTTCCGAGCTCTTATAGCATATTAAATACTTGCAGTATGTGTAATGTTATTGGAATAACAAATCTTGTGCCTCTGCTGCAGCCCCAACGGTTCTTTCACCTGAGGAGAATTTGCCTAAAATGGGTTATTTCCACAAGAGCTTGCCAAGGAATACAGATGTACCACCTCAGAAGATAGCAGGTCCCCCTTGCTTGAAATTAGCTTTTAAAGGATATGCATGATATTTCTTTCTATAAATGACTCATGTTTTACACGTTTAATCCCTCTGTGTTGTGCAGTGCATGAATCTGTAAGGTGCCTGAAGTTTTCTGTGTTTCCATGGCTGGCCTTGACAAACACAGACAGGCACATACTTTCATCCAACGAGAGGTAATAGACGATACATGTCCATAACAAATATCATTTGATAAACCTAATTAAATTAAGTGTCAATTAATTATCTTTTATTTAACTTTTGATGCTCCATTTTTTTTGCTTGATGCCCAGTAATAATTACTTGATTTATTTACTTTTCCCTTTTCAAAGAAGATTTTGGGTTTAATCAAATTAACAGTAGTTTGTGATGTTAAGTTACTGAGTATTGATGTGTCCTTTTTAACTCTCTTGAAACAGTTCTTTAGGGAGTAGCAATCACACCTTGGTGCGAACCACATGTGAACTTCTGTGTGATGTCATCATGCAAGACTTTCCTGCTGAGATCTTCCTGCAAAGGCCCAGCATTGTAAAGGTACCATCGTATTTCTGTGATCTTGCAGAGATAGTAGTAGTAGTAATGTAAATGTACATACATATATGTTTCTGTACCTGAGGGGACTTATCAAACTCTACGAGACAGAAGGTATGCTATAGTGGTTGCATTATTACAGCATGACAGGTAATGTCAGAGTGACAGCTATATTTTAATAATCTCAAGGTACCACAGGTTTCTTTTGAATGTTTTTTTTTAGTGTTAACTCTAAGGTTACACTGAGCTCAAATATGTCATTAAAAACCTTGTGTTGAGTGTTTAATCTTGCATCTTGTGGCAGGGTGTTAGAATGGCTGTCAGAGCCATCATTTTTACTTAAAAGTGTCTGTGATAATTTTTTTCAACTGTCAGATGAAGTGCTTATATTTAAGACAAATCTGTGTATTTGATGGAAAATCTGCACCGCCTTGACTTATAAAGACTTGATTCACTACCAGAGTACAAAGAGACAAAAAAAAATGTCAGTGACAATTACCAGGGCTTCTCTATTTTCTCCTGGTTTCCGGCCAACTTCAGTAGTAGTCTTCTGTATTTATATTAATTAGATGCTGTATGTTGTTTCGAGTGGCTAGCAAGACCAACTCATAATGGATTTATTCGATGGTCACTCCAACCACTGTCAAAATAATAACCTGTCAAATAATGTCCTTGAACAAAACATCAATTTGTAATTCTGTGTCCCTGATCTTGTAGGAGGTTGTGGAGGCCTCTGGAGGTTTACTTTGCTTGAGTAGGTGCTAGATTGCTGTGAGGATATATGTAGTTTGGTCGTGATGTACCTCTTGCAGGATGTGAAAGTCCTTGGTGGAACATTTTACTTTTTTCCCCGTACGACGTCCTTCAGTATCCGAGTTTCTGTATGACTTGACACAGCCGTCCACAGGCTTTGAACGGTCGTCGACCTTGTCTTGCTGGTTTTTGAAGAATGTCAACAGCTGATGCATGGGGTCACAGTACTGAAGACTGCATTGAGCTCTTTTTTACATTCACCAGATATACTCTCTCCCTATCTCTGCAGAAGCGAGACCACTTTTTGATGTATATACCAGTATCATGTCAGAAACAAAGTGCATCTGTTAGCCGAGCGTTTAGTTTCACTGGCATATACAAAGTGTTGGAGCAGACATCATTTTGCCCTGATGAGCCACTGTGAACAGTACTATTTTGTTAATAAAGTGGTGCATTAAATTACATCGGTCTCAGGATGGCATTAGCATACTGTCACCCAGCAGTCTCATCATCAAAAAGAAATCATTACAGGAAAGTACTTTTCTTCTTGAGGCTGTATTTGCCCCTCCTTTGAGTTACTAGAGCTAATAATTAAGCAAAATTAAAAGACTTGAATTTAGAAACATGACATCATTAGCTACAGAGGGCAGGGAATCTGAACTTGGAACAAATTGCTGCTTCAATAATTCAATTCCACTTGCCCTTTTCATTTTGTGAACATTATTACGACTTTTCTATCACTGTCTGAGTTCAAGCTTTTTCTTTTTTTTTTTTTCATACACAGTCTTTGTACGTTGTTTGTGAGCTCTGCTCTGTAAATTGGCCAATATATTTCCCCACTTAAAATAAAGACCTAATTGGAAGTAATGAGTCATTTGTCCATGACCCATCTTTGAAGTAATGTAACTCATCTGACGCTTCCTTCTGTTTTCAGAGCCTTCTGTCCCTGTTGAGGCTTGGTTCGGGTAAAGGTGAGGCGAGCTACCTTCACTTGCCTTCTCTTTCCTGCCTGCGGCTGCTTTGTGTGGGACTAAGAAAGAGACTGCGCTTTCATCAAGATCCAAGCTTCTACTCTGCAAAACAAGGTAGCATACCTTATCAGTTAGTCGAAACGTATAGACAAGTGTTTTTGAATGATGAATCACTTATTTTTGCACGATTGTCCTGTTTGTGTACATATATTACCACCAAGTATTTGTCAACTGTTTGCACTGAGGCAGATTAATGACTGTAACAAAAGCCTCACAGTTCGTGCATTCATCAGCTATGTTCTTCTTCTGATCATGTGTAAATAATTTAGAACTATTGCTGTCTACTCCAACTGACTTATTTCTTACAGGAGGGATATTGTAACACCACTGTATTAGTCTCTGTCTCATCATAAAGACTCAACAAATATGCAAGTGTGTCCTTTTGTTCTTTTTGTGTGGCTGTGTAGATCCCGTGTCCCAGAACTCGTCCTTCTCTTACAACCAGGATGTTCTGGGGGCCCAGCGTTCGCAGGCTTCGTCTCCCGGGGCAGAGTGCTCTCCACGGCCCTCTGTGGTGGGACGCACGGGCCAGAGAGCCAGAGGAGATGGCCAAGATGGAGATGCAGCTTCTAACAGGTGTGTGCATGTAGGCTAGTCTGCATAACTATGCATGTTAAACAAAGGCAAACAGAGATTATAGTTTAAAAAAAGGGCACCTCTTTTTGTGTATCTGTTCATGTTGTCTAAGGTATTGCTTCTGTGGATGTTGTTAGTAATCCTGCTGGCAGTGAGAGCACTGAATCACTCAGTTTGGCTTCTGTCACACTTCTCAGGAATAAATGCTATTATGTTAGTCTGCCTACCTTGCTTGTAGAAATAACATTTTGATATGATTCAACATTGTAGTCAATTCTGTTCATCAGACCTTAGAAGCGAGTCCTATACTTTTTGGAAATTTGCGCACAGTGGGGTTTTCTGTGGCTTTGATAATGACAAAATTGCCGGTGACACTAGCAACCCACACAAGAAGATAAAACAGTGTAAAGAAAGAGAGAAAGACTGTGAAGGATTTTCTTCTTCTTAAATATGAACGACACTAGGAGCCCTCTAGCGGCTGGTCTGTAGAGTTTAAAAATCAGTTTTGATTCCCGTGATGGCATATTCGGTTTTATGATCCATCCCTATACAGCTGGTACGTCACTCCTTGTATTAGAATGGTCCAAGAACAGATCACGAATTTACAGTTGTCTTCCTCCCCTCTCTGTGATTCATCCAGTGGCAGCTCACACAGAGGTGGAGCAGCAGACCAGGCCCCCAGACAGATGGCCCATTCACCTGCAGATGTAACCCACTTGGAGCTTCCTGACCTGGGTGTAGAAGATGTCCTGGAGCTGCAGTTACGGCAGCTCACACTGGCTCAGTTCACTGTTGCCACCATGGAGCATGCTATACCACTGCTTAAGACAGGTAGGAGGCAAAGTAGTTTTTTGTTTTGTTGTTTCGCAAAATGGCAAAGATAAAAGCAATGTTTTTAAGTACATGCATCAATTATCTCTGCTTCTCTTCCTTTCTTGCTTGGGTAAACTTGAGATATTGTAAATATTCCCTCACCTGTTTCCCTACACTGACTGGATTCTATCATTGTTATTTGATCTTGTCAAAAAAAAAAATCTCTTCTGCTCTTGCTCTGTTTCTCTCTTCCTCTCCTGTACCTCAGAAGGTTTTCATGTGTTCCATCGTGTTCTGGAGCTGCTGTGTGACGCTGTCCTCCTGCTTGGGGACAGTGTTTGTGAACTGGTCTGGGACGATCGCAGCCTGGTGGGGATGGAGCTGGCAAGTCAACACAACTCATGACAGCCTCTTATGTAGATGAATGGATACACTTCACTGAAAAGGGGGAACTGGGTTGGCCACCTGACAATTTGCCACAGAGACACACAGGCATACGGTACTCAACTGTCAAGGAGAACTGTGGGCATGTGATTGAACTGAATGAATTATATAAGGTTACAAAGGCTTTCTCCTGGTTACAATGCGTTTCTCACATACATGCAAACTTCTCGTCTGTACCCCTGGGTCTATCCAAGCACGGAATTGCTGGGTTAGTAAATGTCTTCATTTATTATGTGTATGAAGTGCACACAATAGATTGTGTTAAACAGGTGTGTTTTTTTTTTACCATGCAGAATCATTTGTTATCCTCCCTGGCTGTTTAAAGGGTATGTTGCTCTGCAGGGGGATTTACACACTTGTCAAGCCCAGGCCCTTGTGGCCCTCTGCTGTTTAATACATGCCCAGAGCCTTGCAGCCTGAGAACTATTTTGTCATCTTTATGTGGAGAGCAGCTTTTGTGTGCCAGACCTCTAGGTTTTTCCTATGGGAACGGGTCGAACTGTTCATACCAGCCTCAGCAATGCACAGGGCATGTACTGCCCCCTGCTGGTATTTATCTTCTATTGTTCAATTTCTATACCCAGAACAAAGTGGCTGAGAATAGATTGTTCCAATTTATTCATACTGAGATAGGGTGGATCTGTATCTCGTCCCAAAATAACCCTGAAATCTGATTACATTCAATTCCTAACCCCTGGAACGAACAATTTTTCTCTTGGCTCTCCGCCAGCGGTTGTGTCTCTGTGTGTGAACATGCACGCAATGTGAGTACATGTGCATGTGTTGGTGTGTTTGTGTGGCATGCGTGCTTTTGTCTACATTTCCGTCTGTGTGTATTTTAGAAGGAGAAGCTGCAAGCCTGCTTGGAACTACTGGCGGATATTCTGAGCTATCACCAGAGCTTTTCAGGAGATATTCCCCACAGTTCTCAGGTTCACCACAGAATGGCCTACATAGGCACTGCCATATTCACCATTAAACTCCTACAGACCATCCTGCCTCTGGAGAAGGTGTGTGTATGTGTGTGTGTGTATGTGTGTGACCTAATCACATTAATATATTGTTTTCAATTTGAAAGTTGATGTTTCTGTAAACCTCACACACAGGCTAGTGACAATCTCCCAGAAAACACAGCAACGGCTATCCTCCACTTATGCTTGGACACATCGTTTGGGGGTTTGTTACCCAGCATGCAAGAGACAGCAGTGGCCTACTTGGAGCAAGTGAACTCCGATGGTCATGACCTCTACAGGAGGGTGGCCCGAGCTGCCCTCTGGATGGAGTCCACTTGCAACTTTGTAAAAGAAGCACAAGCTGAGGTATGATGTCACATTAGCTCAAGTAGAGAAACCAGTCAGCTTTTATAGACATCTGTAGTTATATAGGGAAATCTCTTAAGTTAAAAGTTACCCATACCACCTTTTTTGTTAATTCATTGATCATTTTCCTTCCTCAAGGGGGAAAAGAATTGGTTGGAGTTACTGGAGCTGGCAGACCAAGCTGTAGATGGTCTTCCGTTTCATCAGCACTTGCCCATCATCAAAGAATGCGTCCACATTTGCTCTTACCTGTGAGATAAAAGTCAAATCAGTTTCTTGCAAAGTAAAATCAATTACATGTCCTTCTGCATTTAAATCTGAATTATTTTAATACTGGTTTAAATTCTTTTGGTTGCCTCTCATTAGGTGGAAGTTTGATCAGCCCAGTCCACTCCTCCAAACTGAGAGCCAGAAACTCCTTCTCAAGCTGCTGTCCCATCCTCTACTGCCTGTCAAGATAGAAACATATGAATGTACTTTAAACCTGGTCAAGGTGAGAGCAAGCCACATTATATAGACAGTCATTGTTTAAATGAGTGTAAAGGGTCATGGCTAAAATATACCGGTCTGATGTCGCCTTAATATGGGCCTGTTTGGTGGGGCAGCCGTATGTAAATAAGTAGGATGAAGATGGATGAGTCCCAGCTCTTTTACAGCGTGCTATAAAAACCCCACTTGACATTTGAAATCAGTCTTTCTTTTCATTTTACCAATCACTGTCTAGAGTGCATGGCTACATTTAAAGGGAATTGAAACTGTTGTATGCGAGCACAAGTGAGAGGATGGTGATAATTTATGACGTTCTCTGGTGTGATTACATATACCCCTAGGACTGTCTTGGCATCCAGAATGTGTCACGACAGGAACCAGGACCGTGTGCTGGAGTCAGCTTCCTTCTCCACCACAGAGTACTCTATGAAATAGTCACTTTTGGACTCCAGGACTCTTCAGAAAAGGTAGATGTACTAGGTGTACTTCTTGCACTTTTACATATGCAGCAGAACCATATCACTTTTTGTTCTTTGAGAATGGCCATACTGTCCACTTGTTTGATTTGTTAGTTTAGATCACGGTTTAAATGCATGAATGTAAATATCCACAGATACTCATGAGACTGAGACTAAGATCACACTAATAGAATTTCTTGTTAAAATGATGTCTTAAAACAAAAATATTTTATTTTTAGTTTCATAAATAATCTGCATCCAACATGCCTGAAAACTGGGTTGGTTGTTTAGCTGTAAAGACACGTGATAGGAATGTGACAATCAGTGAAAGACATGTAACGACAGACGAGACCCAATCAGGGAACGAAAACAGGTGTCTCCGTTATTGTTTCCATAAGTCATTTTTTCCCCATCCAACATATCCAACTCGCAAATTGAGTTTGTGGAAATCTGCAAACTAGAAGGAATTTTCCAAAAGACCTTTTTTCAGTAACTGTGTTTGCTTATGGACGAAAGCTTAAGTGCATCAAAAATCCCACATTTTAAACAATACTTGTGTACATGTGGACAAAGCTAAAAGTCCAGAGATGTGTGTGTGTTGTTTGTGTTTTTGTTGTACCTTTCTGTCAGGTCATGCTAAAATGTCATGTAATTTAGATGTTTAAAAGTCTGTCACACACACTACTTGCCAGTAGATGTTTTATCAGCAGTGACTTTGTGAATTCAGCAGTTTACCTGTGATCTATAGGTGAATGTGTCTGCCAAGGATATCCTGCTATTCCTGCTCAAGGGACGATTGATGATGACAGCGTCAACCTGGGACAGATTCAATGAGGCACTTTACCCGGTCATGCCCATATTACAGGTGTTGTGCTCTCTGTAAAACTCGCATAGTATTTGCACTGCAGAGCTCATAAAACAGCATCATGTTTGGAACTTATTGCATTATATTTATGTAGAGCAGGAAGTGGTGCATGCACTCCCAATCAAAACAGCTATGATCAAAAGTACAATATTAGCGCTCTTGGACCACAAAGACTGCATATTGAGCTGCCAGTGAGAAAAATGCAGTTATTCCCTCATTTACATATTCTGTGTTATATGGTTTCCTTTTTGGGGGGAAAAAACAAACTTTTATTAATTGTTCAGTTTCAGGCAACAGAAAGCCAGGAAATTCTTCATGAATATACATGAGGTTTTGACTAGGCTGTCAAGTGTAATTTAATTCAAGGAGGCCATTCAGAGATGGGCCCACCATGTCAACAAGAGATGAAATGAAACCACCCGTAATCAAAGCGATGCATATTTTATTTACTGTTGCACTGCTTAGCTGGTATTCCCCAATGTTTGCTCCATTGTCTGCCAAGGCGGTCTGAGAATTATGTGTGTTTTTGTGTGTGTGTGTGTGTGGCAGGGTTACGCCAGCACTGAAGAGTCACTGGGAAACTGTGTCCTGCTGATAAGTGACATGTCGGATGTGACAAGAGACAACGCGTTCCCAAGTACAGCCAAGCTAAAAGCAGCACTCCGGCTTCTTTTCACTAAACAACCCACGTGAGTCTGGGCCCTGGGTCCTTCTATTGTTGGTGCTTGTGTCTGTCTGTGTCTGTTTTGGGTATTATGTACCTGCTCAGATTTATGTGCATATCAGAGGTGTGTGTATATGTCTAGAATGTGTATACAGCATGTCTGGTCTATTTCTTCTGCTTCTTGTGTGAGGTTGTTTGATGAGTTTGACGTGGGGTGTCAGGTTTTCTTTTTCTTTTTTTTTTGTTACCTAGACAAACTCCAGAGAGTCTGGAAGCTCTGCTCTACAACATTTGTGGTGGACATATTAACACTATATGTTGTGGTCAGGTGATGTGCTCATCAAGTCATCTAAATGCTCTTTTAGGCCCGTGTAAAACAGCTTCCCATCCAGTCCCAGTCTATGAATATTGATAGAGATGGAAATGAACACCAGAGAAGCCCTGTTAAATTTTGGCAGCAGATAATAGATTTGTCTGCCCTGCCAGCCATTTTTTGACACCAATTGCTGTTTGCATGTAAAAAAAACAAAAAAAACAAAACAAAAACAAGGCTGGTAACATTTTTAGCCACATGCCAGTGCTTCATGCAGATAAAAAGGTTAGCTACATCACATAAATAAAGTTGTTTCCTTTTTTTATCACAGTGTGGTTTTCTTTGAAACTGTCATCTGAAAACGTTGTCTGTATTCTGTTACTACTCATTGTTAACAGCGTGAGAATAGCAGCAGTGCAACAAGTCCTGCCACACCTAAACACAGATGATGATGCGCACACAGTCAGACCAGAGTTGGATCAGTCAGCGATCGCCTCACTCCCCAACCTCTACTGCCTAAGAAACCCTTTAGACATCACACTGGACACCAGCAACAAATCTGTCCTAAAGGTATACACCTACATACACACAGAGAGAGAAAACAGATGGACCTGTGCACAGACAGAGATAAGTGCTTATTCATGTGTTTAATGGTGACTAGGTGGAGTCGGTTGAGAAGCTTTTTTGCATCCTGCACTCAGACACTGTTGACATCTCCCTGAGAAGATCGGCTGCAGAACAGCTGTCAGTCGTACTACAAGGTGAGTTGTCTGTAAAAGCTTGTTCTTATAAATTAATGTAATGTATTATTATATGACAGTATAATATAATGGAAACTACTGGCTGTTGTCTTCATGTTGGGCCCCTTCCAGCTCCTGTACTTCTAAATTAGTCCCACAACAGGTCCTCTTTGTTTTTTTATAGCTATACAAACAAATGTGAAAGTAGCATGGCACCACTGAAAACTGTTCAGGCAGAATTCACTTGCTAATAGTTCACATCTGTCTAATTGTTGTTTTGAGTGTGTTACCAGTCAGAGTGTAGGAAACTGTATGCACTTAAAACAATGAAAAGCAACTTTTCAAAGTTTGTGTGAGAGCTTTCCTCTTGTGAAAACTACAGTTTGCAACAACATTTGCGTGTTCCCACTGCCATATGTTTTAGGCAAAGAGGAGAAAAAAAAATAGTTGATTATGCAAATGTTTATTGTCATATATTGAATTGCTCTCTCTCTTCCCAGATACAGCAATGCACCCAGTGCTGAAGAATCTTGGAATAACAGATAAAGTCATTTCTTTCATTATGGAGAGTATAAATGGCAACAAGGTAAAAGCAAATGCCTTGGGCAAACTGATAAATATATGTATTGAATGAATTGCTGTTGGAGCCTAATATATCAAGCCCTGTAATTTCATAAATGCAGTCACATGTGCTCCATTTTATGCACATGTTCTTGTTTGTATGTGCTTACATGTGTACATACGTTGTCAGTAAATGTGGAGAAAACCCACTGAGGCGTGGATGATAGAGGGATGAAATGGCCTGTGTTAATAGTGTCAGACAGACCCTGGTCAGCAGTGATTTTTGCCCTGTAGTTACTGCAGTCTGCTGATCATTCCCAGGCCTTGAATCAGAAGCTGCCAGGGGTAATTGTCCAACATGTCTAGCTACATGGGAGGGGGCGACTCTGCTAACAAGTGTGTGTAAGAGGCATGTCTTTGGGTTGTATTTGTCCCAGCCCTCCATTGCCTGCAACCTGCGCAGTCACAAAATTTGGGTTTAGCTTATGTGGGTTGACAGTAGAGATCCTGTGCATTTGTATGTGAGAGACAGAACAGGAGAAGACAGAGAGAGATTATGTGTGTTTGTCTGTGTTTTCCCTGCAATTAAACGCCAAGCAAGTGTGTTGCTGTTTTCCCCAGAGCTTGGATTGTCTGCTGGAGCCTTGTGTATGTATCCTGAGAAAGCTGGTGTATGCTGATCCATCTCTGAGGCACAGCCTGGCACAGCGCAACCTCCTGCTCCTCACACTGCTCAGGGGTACATTCACAAGACAACTCATTAAGTAACAGCTATACACGTGTTGTGTAGCTCGGAGGCACATTCTCAAGTCATCCACTGATGCATAGCCTTTAACCGTGTTGTCACACTGCAGTAAATGGAATATTAGTATGATGCAACTTGTTGCTATGGCGCTCATCATAACAGTAGTTGGTAACATTGACAGCCACTCAAATATTTTTTGCACAATTTGTAGTTAAATTGATAGTGACACATTTTAAATAAGGAGACATTTCATTTAAATAATATTATGTTCATAGTTGCTTCCTGTATATTATGGAGAGATTTAGCCAGAATATATGCAAGATTCTTTATACATTATAAATGTAGGGTTTCCAAACTTTTAAATAAATCTTTGTCACTTGAATTGAATTACATATTTAAAATTCTTATTAGATTATTTATAAGCTCAAGTGATAAAATTCAGGGGTGTGGCTAATATGTAAATTGCCAATGTTGTGTTTTCATTCTAGCCTCCTTGATATTGAAGGCGAACAAAGGCAGTGGAAGTGAGATTGCTGTCTTGATGAGTTTGCTGCTATTTGATGAGATTGCCAGTATTGAGATATGGTGAGTTATTTTCTTCTCTTTCCACGCCACTAGTATTAATGTGCATTCATTTAATATTTTATCGTACTACTGCTTTCTTGTCGTCAGGTCGGACAAATCCAACACAGACGTGAGCTTCACACCGTTTTCGCTACCGCTGACAGTAGTACGCAGGTAGGACCGTCCATAAAGTTATGAAGGTCTAAAGTGGGCAATTATCATTTTTTGTTGCCATATTTATTTCATTCCTTCTCAATAAAACACTTCATATCTGCAGATTTTTAATTTGCCTATTGTTTCTTCCAGGTACAACATTCCGTTTCAGGCAGCGACTCATCACGCTGTTAGCCCGTACTGCTGCGTCTTAGCTCCTTCCTCTGACCTCCTGACCCTTAACCCTGCCCGCCATGCCCTGCAGGTGGCCTGGAACACTGCATGGCATTCAGGGATAGATAATCTTCTTGAGAAGCTGCGCGGCATTGCTAGTGATGTTACTGAGTAAGATTTTTAATTATTCCAACTTGTTTGCAGTGACTGTCTTTATTTCTTTTTTTCCTTTTTTTTTTCTTAAGTATTATCCTTTTCTCTTTTGTATTGTGATTAAATAAGAGATTAAAACTTAAGTTGGAGTAGAGTACCTGTTATATTTTCTTTGTTTATATGCATTAATTAGTCTGTTCAAGTTTAGGTTTTTTTTTTACCACTTTGGTTCTTTGCGATGTGTAACTATGCAATATCGAAGACACTGACGACTACAATAATTCTGTGGCAGTGTTTTTAAATGCTGAAAGAGCCTGCTACATATCACTCATGTTCAACATTCTCTCTAGTGGGGAGTTGTACTGAAGAATTAGATTCAGAATCTTGGCATCTTGTGTTTCATCTGTCTTCATTTACTTCTAATGTGGCCTAATTCAAACAAATGAGAATGTCTCTCACAGTTTTAACTAGCTTGATTACGGCAAAGACGTTTGAAGCACACCATGGATGGATCAATCCATCTGAAACCAAATTTCATACACAGCTATGATTGGTTCTTGTAGTACTTGTTAAAGATGGATTAGTCAATGAAAATTTGGAACTATCTCCTTTGTATTTGCTATTTGTGTAAAGTACAGGGCCCAAATCCTCAGATATTGTTTCTCACTACAAAGCACAAAATGCAACAATCTTTTCTACATATTGTCACGACATAATTACGTTTTTTCTTAGATATTGCTCATTGAATGTGCCTGGTGTCATCATTGCTGCCTCTGCTTGATTCGGTTGCTAGAAATTCTCAGCAAACTTCTCTCTTCTGATGACTCATAAATGTCTCATCCCTCCGAATTGGTGATCAAATATGCTTGTTAATGCAGTCATTAGTATGCTTCTGAGGGTGCTGCTTATGCAACACACTTGTCAGCACATCAATAGTCATGTAATCTGATTTTGAATAATATTTGATACCATTTACATTTTGTCCCCCACAGATTTCATCCTGATTTAAAGCTGTCAGAAACACAAGTTCTGTCGCTGCAGGCTGTGCACCTTCCTGCCGCGCTGCAGGACTGCATCCAGGCCATCGTCACTGCAGCGGGACACAGTTCTGTGGCCTCTGCCCTCTCCAGGCTCAGCCTCTACTTGTTGTTTGACAGACTGGCTCTCCCTCACATTCCCACCCACAGCTGCAGAGACACCCTTCACTCCCTCAGTTTGCAGGCAGCAGTGACCAGGTAGGTTCACATGCATATAGCCTCGATTATGGGCTTTGCAATTACTGTTAAACATCTCTGTCAAACAGTCAGCATCACTTGTGGTGAAACTAATGTTTTTTTTCATGACTCATTGAGTATATAAAGGCTTTGTCGTTCATCTATATATTTTTTTTGAAGGGTTAACATGAATTAAAGATGTTCTGAGTATTTAAAGTTACCTGAGGAAGTATGAGGAACTTTGATAAAATCTTAGCAAATGTAATTTAACCTATGATGAGTCTGTATATATTTTTTAATTCATTCCACCCCCCCTTTGGATGACATATCTTTATTACAAAAAAAAAGAACAAAACCAAAAACATCCACTTTGCCTCCTTTAGCAAAACAAATAAAACATAAAATGACAAACATTTTCAGTTGTTTCTTTAAATGTCATTGACCTGACTGCATCAGTATATCACCATCTCTTGAGGTTTTTTTCTTTCTAGAGACACGTGTCTTGCTGGTGGTTTATGCAGTCATGTATTTCCATTGTACATAGCGTCTCACAACAGAATAAGAGAAAATTAAACAAATACATAAAAAACAGGAAGGAATCTCCCTGTAGCTTCATAGAGTATGTTATTATTCTTTCAGCCATGAGCTCCTCTTCTTGTTGTCACAGTCTCTGTCTCTTCCTCCCTGCAGGTTTCTCCAGGTGCGTCCAGCCTGTGTTGAGGATGAAAGGTTGCTGGTGGGTATTGTTGCATTTTTGAATGCCTACTTCAAACAGATGCACACAGAGTTTGTGTCTGACCCAGAGGACAAGAATCTACGCTGGATACTGGAGCTGCTTCTCAACCAGGTATGGATCATTTACTCCTTCCAGATTAGCATGGAAATAAAGGCGCACCATAATAGTACAATATTTCTTTTTAAGGGTTTGACTCAAAGGGATGTTTCAGATGGTTCTTTGACACAACATTGTATAAGCTACTTTGTGGTCTGGATTCTGTTTAGATTCCCAGTAAACCAGTGCAATGTGTACTATACTTATTTTATTATATTGTGGCCTGCCTTTGATATGTATGTGCACCAGAAAATGTGTGTATGTATCTCCATTAGCTCGTAATCTGGTTAGACTCTCTCCCTTCCAACACAGAGGGTTATATACCTGCAATCAAAGCAGGAATAAATCACACGCACTGTCAGACAAGCTGAGCATATTACTCTCTCATAACAACAGAAAAATAGTATCATAGCTTTCCACCTCAGACCTGTGGCAAAGATTATTTCCTGAGCTCTTAAAACAAAGTTGGATTCATATTTTTGCCTGAGGAGAAGAATTACCACACTGTTTTAGTGGGGAGAGCTACTTTTAGGATTTAATCAGTCTCACCTTGGCTTTCTCATTAATGTGTGTGTAAACAATAAGTCCTCCCCTGGCAGCTAAAGCAGACTCAGATTGAATGCCTGGTAGGGGTGAGCAGTGCTGCTCTGCTCCAACTTTTCTGTAATTACTGAGCTGTTTCAGGAACATCTGTCGCTTCATACAGTTGCATTAACTACCTACTCCGTGTGCACTGCTCAGTAAGAAATTGTGCTGTCGTTGGTGCTCCAAGAGTAGATTTTTTTTTTAGGGAGAGAAGGTGGTGCTGGCTCACATACACCCTTCCCTACACCTTATCTCCATGGGTCAGGTTGTTTACATTTAAGACAGTTGGCAGATAAATTGCTGTACTTTTGTTTTCTTGTCAATACTACACAATATTATCACTAAAGTTGATTAACCACGTGTACAAAAGGATGCTTTTTTAAACTATGTATGCTGCTAAAAGAGCAAAAGCTCATGAACACATTGGTATACTGTCACAATATGTTCTTTAAAACAAAACAAAAATCTGGTATAAACAGACAAACAAGAATATCTTGGAAATGTTATCGGGCTGAATTCAAAATAATACATTTCAATATCAAACCAATGACAATTACTGGTATCCATTTGTCCACCAATCTTTTAGGAGACTGCATCTCTCCTTAATTTGCTGCTTGGTGTGGAGACCCAGGCCTCACCTCAGAGCCCAGGGGAGCAGGACGAACTGAAGAATCGTGTTAGCCAGAGACTGCAGAGAGAGCTTACGAGTTTCTTTAACACCTTGCTACTCCGTCTAACGCACACCACTGACAGGTAGCATGATTTCACACACAAACTAGTGGTATACTGCTGCGAAGTCGCATATGGTAGAAGTGATTTATCATGGCATCATCAGTTTTATTTCATTTCAAATTTCACAATGAATGAAAGAAATTAATAATTTTTAAAGATAAGTTTTCTTTCTTACATTTGAATATTTAATGGTTGGGAATTTGCTTTTGTTTGCTTATCAGATGAAAAATCCTTCTATTTTGACTATAGCTCAGGGCCAATGAGGCACAGTTGTTCTTCAAAGACCCCTAATCTGTTAGCCAGGTGCTAAAGTACTTTCTACACATACCCTTAGTCTATTAGCCAGATGCTTTTGTACACTTTTCTACACATCTAATGAATATATATATATATTTTTTTGTCATGAAAAATAAATGAACAATCTATAGTTACTGCTTGTAAATGTATGGGACAAGAAAATGATCTCTCATGTAATAATATTCAGTTTGCCGGAGGGGTTAGAATTTTTTTTAATATCATTAGGAGGAAAAACCAATTGTCAGCAGTTTTTAATCTTTATTCCACTTCTCTCAGCCTCTTGTTTTCCCTTCTGTCTGTCTGATTTGATCGTTTCTCGCTCTCTCCTCTCCTGTCTGTCCAGGCTATGTTTGGCATTAGCAGGCCCCTTCAAGAGCCAGCTGGCAGTCCGTTTGCTTCAGAGCCTGCGGGTGTCTGATGCACCGCGTTTCTATGGCCTTCCCAGCCTGGAGAGGACACTGCAGGGCATGGTCAGCCTGACTGCCCAGCCTGGCTGGAGCTTTCACTGCCCTGACCTGGAGCCCAGCACCCTCTGCTCCAAGTATCTCAGTGGGCTATTAGAGGTGTGTGTCTGTGCATTAGCTCGTGTCTGTGTATGGCATGTGTGTTAAGTGCTGTGTCTGCACAGTATGTGTGCATATGCTCAGTGTTGCATGGGCACATACAAGCCTCCTACCCTCTCATTAGAAATGAGCATGCCTACAGAAATGAATAAAAGGAGAAACATAGTACTTTCTGAGGAATTAATTAAAATTAAACAAAATGTGGTTACGGGACATGAATTGCAATGGGTAAAAATCTCATTGATTAGATATGCCACACTGTGAAGATGCTGATGAGATTAATCAACCTTGCCTTTTCCATCTGTTCAGCTGTTCAACAGTCCATAAAACAATAGCGTTACACGGTGTAGACCAGCTTGCACAGCATCAGCACAGAGGTGTCCAAACTGTTATTTTTGCTTGGGAATGAAGACCCCTGTGGAATAGGCTATCCTGTTTATTCAACACATATGTCTGCTCATTGTTGGTTTGATTGGGCAGCTTTCATTGACATAATTTAACATCAAATGAGGATTGAAGGTTAATTTCCTTTTCAGTCAGGATTACTCATGACTGGTGTCATGTGCCAGGCAGCAATCAGATTGGTAACTCTTTCACCCTAGCCTTTTAAACACTCTGACCCACCTCTCATCTGACACTCCTGGCAATGTAGGGTTCAAAAGCTCAGCAGGCCTTGGGCTCCTCTCTTTTCATCTGCTCTATTGTGCAGTCTCACATCCTAATGGCTCACCAAAGAAAAAGTAATTAGTCTCAGCTGTATATGAGTTTAATTTGGATGCAGCGGGTTGAATGACAAGCATACAGTCAAGTCAGAAATAAATACTCTTTGTTTCGTCAGCTGGCTTTGCTTTTTTTGTTTAGGTGACAAATTTACAGCACCATGTGACAACAACTACTTAAGAAAATGCAAATATTAAGCACTTCTGCACTCCAGCTTCAACTGTCTTTGTATGATTTGGAATTCATGATGGGATACATACTGATACACGTGATATTACTGTAGTATTCTGTTATACAGTATATCCAGTGTAACGCATGTCATTCACACAGGTGATCTCCTCGTTTTATGTTGAATGGGGAGGTAACTCCTTGTCTTTCATGGGGAAAGGTGTAACCAAGAATGCTGTCATCTGCTTGCTTCACCTGTCCCATGAGATGCTGTCCAGAAACAAGAACAAGGCAAGTCAACAGGCTGTTACTGATTTAAGGACTCTGAGTTTACCAAATATTTGATTAGACTTAATGACGTGAACATAACAATGTAGCAGTAACTAGATTTCATTTCTGAGAATCTACTCTTATGACAATGAACACAGTACTATGCAGTATTAAAACATTTTGGAATTAAGTAAAAAAAAACATGATTTCTTCTTATTTTTTCTGCACAAGGACTTGATTTCCCAGTGGTCTTTGGGGAATGAGTCAGCTACTGAAGAGGCCAGTGCCTCTCAGCTGGGTTTGGCCTGGCTTATCCCGCTATGGGTGGACCGAGACCAAGAGGTAAAGACCATCACTTGCTTGTAATTTCCTTGAATTTATACAAATGTCTAAACAAGTACTTCCAGTCAGTACTATGCAGTATGAGACAATGCAGTCCTAAATTTTCTGGAGTTTTCTGTTCATTCTACAGCTTTACTTTAAAAAGTCTTTCCATCATAAAATGAAGTGTCAGATGTTTGGCTTTTGGGACAAAATGAAACCCATAACAGTTGCACAAGAAGTCGCAGACAGAAAGGAGTACATGACAGCTAGTCGTTTCAAATTCTCTGTCTGTCTCCAAAAATAAGTTTCCACACAAGTCAGTCTAAGAGGCTCCCTTGACAAGGAAAGCTTCTGTCTTTGCCATCATCAGTTTAAATGCTAATCCAGTATTATGAACAACCAGTGTGGCCAAACTTAAATATTAATGAACATTGCTGTAGATAGGTGTCCCATAACATAAGGATGTTGTCTGAAGATACAAATGTATATACTGTCCATCTTGGAGTGTTTCGTCCTCTATCTTTCTCTTCCATTTTCTCTGTCTTTTCTCTCAAACTTTGGTCTAAATGCGTGTCTCCTGTGTCATGTCAGGTGAGGTTTGCCAGCTTAGGTTTAGGTGCAGCTCTGTCCTCGAAGCCCAGCGGGTGCCAGGCGCTGTGTGCCAGCTGTCAGAACATTAGCGGAGGTCTGTGGGGCACGTTGCTCAACATCCTACTGGATCAACAGGAGAGCAGCATGGTCCGCAGAGAGGTACAATGTTAGAACTGCAACTTTGATCTAAATTTGTCTCTTACAACCCAGAAAATTTTTTGTTATTTTTTCGTATTGCTACACAGGAAATGAAAACTTAGTCTGAGAAGCCCTGGCCCAAGATATAGAACATGAGACTGTTTATTTCCATGATTGCAGAGACGTTCAACTAAAGCTATACACTGCAAATTGTCAAAAATCGGTACCCACTCATGCTGCTTTGTCACTAAATTACTTTTCAGTTTTGACCTTGATTCACAGTAGTCTTAGACAGTAAAAGCAGTGTAAATTTCACTTTTACCTTTTCAGTGGTCACAAAATGAGACTGGACTTCTATGTATTACCAGCCAAATACAGGCAGATGGCACTGTTGCTGATGCAGTCTAGCTTGACCCTGTGTGTGTATGTGCTTTTTTTGTTTTTTGGGTTTGTGTGTCTAGGCTGCATTTATCCTGCAGAACTTGCTGGTGATGCCCATGCCTGCCAACGCAGAGGAGGCCAAGGACTCCCACTGGCAGGTCAGCAGATCTGCCAGCCAGTTAAAAAGCTTTTATAGACCATGAACTGTTTTCTCTATCCCTCTCCTTCAGTTTCTCTCTCTTAATATACCCTCTCTTTACCTCCTTTTCTTTCCTAACCCTCCTCTCCTCTCTTGTTGAGCCCTGCAGGGTTCAGACCAGGGGCTAAAACTGAAGATTTTCTCAGACATAGGCATTCAGCTTTCACATCCAAAATGATTACGTTTACATCTCTGTCACAAAAGTGTCTTAATTTAAAATGCCATTACTCATGAGGGGAAAGAAAAAACTTTTATTAAAGCAAGGCCTGTTGTTTACCAAATCTAATATAGACAACAATGCAAAGAGAAAATAAAAATGGTTTGATTTGGTGACTAGCTGAATGGGAGCTATTGGAAAAAATAGAAGAAGAGCAACAACACCGGAACCTAAAATGTCATTCTGTAAATATGAAGTGACATTTGTAAAATGAATGAAATGATGTCCTGTGTCAGTACCACAACAAATACCCATAACCCTGTCTCCAGTTTCTCCTTTTTCCACTTCTCTAGTAATAGTTCAATAATAAAAAATGTCATGTTTATATATTTCTCTGCATCTGTTCACATTCACTGTCTCCTCTTTCAGCACCCATGTGTCCACGATGAGGTGTCTGGCGTGTCTTTAGTGGGTCTTCCAGCGCTGCAGGCTTTGCTTTACCACTGTCAATATTTCCAGCATGTAGCTCTGTCTGCTTCAAGTTGTTACCGTGGCAGGTACACTTTCCACCTCCAACCTCATGTTGGCGCTAGCAGCGGCCCCAGTCCTCCGGAGAGCACTGCAGCGGGTAAGCTCTGATTCTTTTCTAATGACTGCCTCCATGATGGGATGCAGAAATAGAAATCTGATTATATGAACATGTACCACCAGTGCACATTCACAGTGAGCGTATTTTTGAAATTTTGGTTTTTGGGTTTCGTTTTGTGTAGATTCTGAGAACTCTCTGTGGTCTTGGAAATGTGACCCACCAGCACCCACCGTCAACTCTAGCAGACCTTCCAGTTCCCTCTCCACCTCCAGCACTGTGGTCAGCAACGCTGCAGTACGTTCTGAATGCACACCAACAAATAAACAGCTGCATCAAGTCAAATGGATCCTCACATCTTCTTTTTGTCCATTATAGACAAGAGGTTCAAGGCCACACACCCCTAAGGCTCCTTCCCCACTGAACATCAGAGAAGATACCCCTGCCAGCAGACTGATGGCACAAGGTACAACACACAAAAATGTCTGCGTGTACAAATGTGTGCACATGTGCATTCACAATCATTGTCGCACTGCTTGTTTAGTTTTTCATACCACATAAACCTTCCCATTATTTTCCTTTAGCAAACCTTATTGTGGTCAGTGATAATTGTAAACTTAAACCCTTCCCGCCATTTGCGTGTTTATCTTAGCATCATAAAATATACAATCCAGAAAGTAAAACACTGTTCTCTGGTGTTTTACCTTGGTTTGGTGCTTTTGATTATGTGGTCTGAGGATCGCTTGTCACGGACAGAGATGTGATTCACACAGTGTGTGAACCATTCGGGAGACATCTCTATTAACTGTCTATTGATGTGTCTCACAGGCCAGAGTGATACAGACACAAGTAACTCGGTTACCTCGCAGGACTCCCGACAGGCCGAGCCCTCAGCCGTCGAACCTGTTGTCATGGTAACTCCTGACCTCCTGACGGCCCACTGTGGCCTGCTGACCAACCTGCTGGCCATCCTTCCAGATTTCACCCTCACTGCCTTCCGACACCACCAGCTCCTCCACGTTCTAGCCAGGTAGGAGGCCACATGCTCATTCCACATGAACGCCACACCTCCTTCTCCCCCTTTGGATTATCATGAATGAAGCTGAAGATTGTTCTATTCAATCCAGTGTTGAAATGTTTTGTGTTTGGTTGAGAAAATAATTGTGTAAGATAGTTAGTCATAGTTCTGATAACCAATGAATTGTTTTAGTTTTCAGTAAAAATATCAGTTTCTGGTGGGAGAGAGTTTTTCTCTGTGTAAACACAAAATCATAAAATCAACGCTTTGAGCCCCAGCACCATGCTTTTATCATTATTTATAATAATTAAACATCATATAAATAAGCGTGTGCATTGTCTATTCAGTGGAGAATTAATGTTAATTGTAGCCTTAATCCCTTCTAGCTAGTTTCTTGCAAGCTCACACTTTTTCCATCCTGCATATTTTCTTTTTCAGTCTAGTGGATATTGGGCCCATCGAGAAATGTTTGACTGAACTGAAGACACCCACCATCCTTCCAGGAGAGAGAGAAGACATCAAAAGTCAGGTGAGGAACACCGTGATAGACAGTTCTGAGGTGTTTTTTTTATTTTATTTATTTTTTTTAACTTTTTTGTTATTATGACTTACCACAGAATATGTGGGCTGGTGCAGTCCATTGCCAGTTTCAGTGCAGTGCTAGGTTATCTAAGGGCACCTTCAGATTTCAGCGTGGGTGGAATACTTAACAAGCTTATACTCGAAGCATACCATTATTTTTCGAAGCTTTGTTACTTTTCTTATTATAAATTATTTTCTCTACCCTTAACTGCTCAGTAAATGTTGTTTGTCCTCATTGTGGTTAAGTCGGTCTGTATGTTTTTGCATCAATCTAGTTTGTCACCACACTTCAGTTCCTGTCCAGCTTCTGCAAACTGCTGCAGTCATGTGTCACGACAAGCATGGAGCCGATTGGCCAGATGGACTTCCTGAAACAGCTGTTGTCTACTCTGGTGGCTGTACTCATGCTGGATACTAAAGGATTAGGTCCGAATTTTATGTTTAATTCAGTGTTAGTTAAATTGTCTGTGATATCTGTGTGTGTGTGTGTGTGTGTGTATGTGTGTGTGTGTGTGTGTGTGTATAGATTTTTATTTTATTTTTTTTCCTAATTGGTATAGACTGTAATGTAATATGTGTCATTTCTACTGATCTGTTTAGAAAAACCCTCAAATGCAAGTCCTATTTAGACATTTGTCCCACTCTTTCCGCATTATGCCCTACAGTGCGATCAGTGTGCGGCTTTGTGGCTGCCTCATGTCATAAAATTTGTGACTCACTCTTTCCCTCCTCAGATGCAGGTACCCGGGACGTGGTTTGTGTGTGCTGGGCAGACGTGTTTATGCTCCTGGCTACTCTGGTGAAGAGGGACAGTTCAGCAGCACACCCATCTGTCTCTGCTGCATTGGGGAGACGCTGGCGGACATTTGCAGGTACACAGATACTCTGCTCTGTGAGTGAATAAGAGTGACAAAAGTAATTACACTGGCTTAGACTGCACAATTAGTTGTATGATCATATATTATGGATAACTTTTTGACATTATTGTATTATTGTCATTTTTTTTGTAACACTTATGCATTTCATTTAATTTATATAGCCCACTGAGGTTTAAGAGACAAGATCTTTCTTGATGAAATGAGTCCTTACATCATAAAAGACTGATAATCATGATTAGGGTAATTATGCTGATTGCAGTAACTGACTAAATAATCAGGATTAGCATTTTAGGTATAATTGTGCAGCCTTAATTCTGGTACAGAAAAAAGAAATTCTATCATTTTAACACGCTCGTTTCATCATTACTGTTTGTATTAACTTTCATGAACAGATGCTAGGATAGGGTAATTACATCCTGTCCTTATACTACCTCCACTCCTCCTACTCATCTTCCTCTGTGATTAATGACGCAGCAGGGAAGTCTGATGAGTCCAGTAGAAGATGAATGCTGAGCCTTTGTGCGTGTATTTTTGTCTGCGGGTACATCTGGGTGTCTGCATACACATTCAAATGATTAGTGTGTTCTCCACCAGTGCATACTGCCTCAGTCATGGACAAATATCTACCTGTCAAGGGAGTTAAACAATGGATTTGCCATTTTGTTCCCCTGTGATTCAGTATGTTTTTCAGTATCATTCATTAAAAGAAAGCTGTTCACTCTTTTTTTTTTTTTCTTTCTTTTCCTCTATGTTTGCAGGAACATTAGCAGTGTGTGTGAATGAGAGGTTTGCAGACCCTGTTCTCCACACAGTAGCTCTGCAGTTTCTCAGTACAGTTTTCACAGAGGAGACAAAGACCCGGAGTGAAGAGGTCACAACCACAAACTCTAAACACGCCACTCATCTGTCAGACGTCCTAAATGGTCCCTCGGCGAGCGAACTGTGTGAGCTGTTACTGCAGGTAGGGGGATGGTTTGCAGACACATGATTGTCTCTGCATGGCCCTCAGAGGTGTTGGCAATCCCAGGATTCTTCAGTGGGAACTATTATTGACAAAATCTAACTATGTGTTTATAATCCATACTGTCTGTGTTCACGGCCAAATTTCAAAATTAAAAAAATGTTTGTTATCTTTGTGGATAATGTGGAATAATCACTCCGTCCCCCTTTGACTGTTGATGTCAGAGTTTTGAGAAGAGGACCTTTCAGGACCCTCTAAAGAAGCTTACAGCGAGAGCTCTGATGACACTGCTAGCTTGCAGTCCCACAGCTCAAAATTATGCAGCCAAAGGTAATTCTGCAAACCTCATGCAAGAGCTAGACCCACAATCTACTGTGTACTGCACGTGTAGTGGTTTCTTTGTGTTAACCTACATTTTAAAACCCCATCTCTATATGCATCTGTTGGGAAAATGTCTAAAGTTCATCTTTCGACCAAGTCTCCATCCCTGAGAAGTATTTCTGTTCATTTGTCAAGTAAATTTAAGTTGAAACAACTATACCTGTATCATTTCAACCTAGTTTCAACCTCTGACTGTCTTGTGTTTTAGCCGGGTTAATTGACAGCTGTGTAGAGCAAATGAAGCAAATTCAGTCCCAGCTCCAACTGGAGTCAGTCCGACCCGGCAAGGCTTCTCACCGCAAGAAGGTGAGTAAAGGCTGGCTGGAAATTTCCAATCTCAGCATTTCGCTGCTGCCTGTTTTTTTCCCCTTTGGGTAGAATAACAAACTGAATTCAACATGAATGAGTTTTTGGATAAATATTATGAATATGTGCTGTAGTTCTCAGCAGAAAGTCCTCTTGCTCGTCTTGTCAAGTTTGTAATGTGTGCAGTAAAGGCTGTTTTTAACTTGGAACAATTAAACATATTGGTCTTTGTTTTGTTTTTCCATATTACCAGGAAGAGGGCTATTTAAAGGAAGTCAAGCTGACTGTGGAGATCCTGCGGAGTGCTCTTTACTGCAACGATGAATGCAAAGTGAGCCTCTGTGCCTGCCTTTTAATTCCCCACTGCTAATTGGTTTTTAATGGAACCTCAGAGTACCAGTGCTGTGCCTGTAAATGAGATTCGCCTAAATGTGCATGGCCCTGCTAACATCTCAGCAAGTTTAGCTTCTTAAACCCTGTAATGGCATTACTTATGGAGCATATTAGCTGGTTTTCATTTTCTAAGTGGCCTTTCAGTCACTGGTGGTTACCTCGGACTAAAAAGCCAGGAAGTGCTCTACTGCAATGTTTACCCTGCCATTATTCCCCTCCCCGTATGTTTTCCTGCACACTTAAGAAAATACTGAGGCATTTTATGTTGATTACTGCCGTCTGTGTCGGTGCTGTTGTATAAATCAGGTCATCTCTAATGTATGTTATTAGCAAGTGTGCCTGTGCAATCCTGTACAAGTCTGGATGTGTGCTTGTTCCCATACAAGTGCATGTTTTTGAGTGTGTGTGTGTGTGTGTGTGCACGTATAATCTATTTGTATTTGTGTGTGGAGGTGGTGGCCACAGATGCCCGCCTAACACTGGCACTCTATGCTCTTTGGCCTTGGCTTCTACTGGACAACCCCACCATGGAGGCGGCGCTGGAGCTTCTGTGTGTCTATACGGCCAACTGCACAACAGGTCTGTATGCTTGTGTCTGTTTTGTCCGGCTGTATGTTTATGTGTTTGTGCAGGCATTGTGCCTGGCCCGTGCCTGCCCATCGCCTGTCTGTGGTCAGCAATCCGACTGAGTCACACACACTTCGCACTAAGAGTCCCATTGTCCTCTCAAATGACCACTGAACAACATTGTGTCTCACTGTATAAGACCAGCGCCTGCTTGCCTGCCAGTCACAATGGGCACAGTGTCAGGATCCAGAGATCTGGCTGCATGGCTGTCTTGCTGTATGTACGGCAACCAGTTTCAGACCAGTGAGAGTTGATGTGGGGAAGAACAGAGCATCTCTGTCTTGCCTGAGATACTGGTATTCCATCATGCAAATGCAAAAATCGTGTATGTGGAAATCAGAGAACCAAAAGACACACACGCAAAAAAAAAACTTGGTGAGTAGAGGAAGGGCAAGATTTATAGGGAGGAAACAGTAGGGAAATTTCACTTTGATAAACAGCTAGTGGTCCCTTTGATCTGTTTGTCTGTGTGCATGCATATGTGACTGGCATAGCTGTGCAATAGAAATCAGTTTCATCAGTGAGGAAAAGGAAGTTTCATCTACAACACTTATGAACGTTTCTGACTGTGTGTGTGTGCATGCGCGTGCGTGTGTGTGTGTATATCTCTATTTGATTGGCACCGGTTCCTCGGTGGGTGCATGTGCACACTCTGATCTAAACTCACTCGCTTTAGACCCCCCATAAGCTCAAGCTGTGAAGCACCAGAAATCAGTGAAGTCAGGCACAGTATTTCCCTAAAGGTTAACTGAACAGCAGGTTGTGTTCAGGCTGCATGCAGCCAGGCTTAGTATTACACCATACACCCTCAGGCTACCGTTCAGTCTCATGAGACTGTTACATTTCTACTGAATCTTTCATCTCCAGTCTACCTCCTTTATCCAAAGCTTTGTTAGTACTGCTAGTTCAAGTCAGATTGTTGTTTTCATCTGTGCCACACATATTTTCCACAGATATTTTTGTAGCAGCCCCAAACCTTGTTCCCACAGACACACAGTAAAACATGAAAATACATCTTGATTTTCTTCACTGATCTGTCCTATATATTGCATGGTTGCAAAATAATTAATCTGATTTGAGGCAGCAGTTGGAATGCTTTAGTCATATCAGAAACAGATTCATTATAAAACAGACCTCCCTTGTCAATTTCGTGATACACCAGGTTTCTTGACAGGTATTGAGATAACCTCAGGCAAACATTAGCATACGCTTGTTGCTGTATGTTACCATTCTAGGATTAGCATAACCAACAAGCTGTCATGTTCTCTAACAAGCAACATCAATCAGACACTATGTGTTGTCATTGCTCTCTGACTTAAGCTTGTTAATTTCTGTATTGTGTATGTAATCTACAGCTTCAGCAATTAGTCACGTCAGCTATACTGATGTTAATGTTGTGCCAAAACAGCAATATTTTATTTGCATCACTTATTTGTTTGCTATCTATTAGTGTTTACATTTCTGAATGACCTTGCAGAAGAATAAATTGCAGTCATAGCCTAAGGCTAAATCATTTTCATCCTTCCCAGAGTCAGAGAAGCATGTTGTTGTCATTATCACCAGAGTCCTTTCATGGTGAATGAAGATTAAAAGCTAGTTAAAAGATGAAAACTTTCGGTGGTGTTTTTAAAGCTCTCTGATTCAACCTATGAAACTTCTCCATTTGAAGTCTGTACTCATTGTGAAGACTGTTTTATGACTATGTTTTTGTTTATTAATTTGTTCCTTGCAGCAGTTTAGTCTTCATTGTTCTCCTATTATGACAAAATATTCTGTCTTCTTACAAGCGTTCCACTGCCCTTCATCATTTCTGTCATTTGTCTAGACAGCTTTCACATCAAAACAAGCTCTGCATGCAGCTGTGCAGAGATGTTTAGGTGGAGCGAGCAGACAGCCGTGCAGCCCAACGAGCCGGTCGTTATTTTTGTGGCTACTGCTGCTGCTGCTGTCTGGCCAGCTAGCTGGCTTTAAGATAAACAGAAAGAAGCAAGCTGTTCCAACAACAAGAATAATAGTGTTTCTGTGTTGGCCTTTTCTTGATGCTACCAGTGGAGTAGAATAGTTAGGAGAACAATGCTGTATGTACTGCATGTAACAGATGAATTAAAAGGATGCTTACTGTTTGCATTTAACCTGCTTAAAGCCACAGTTTTCTTGGTGGGAATGATGATTGTAAACTATATGTAGTATTGGGTTTACACATTTTTTGGGGGAGGAGAAGAAAGACCTGCCCAATTTAATCATCAGAATGCTGGATTATTACGTTGGCTACCACAGCAGTCCACAGCTCTAGATTTTGCTGTTGTCCTTTGTGGAAAAGGCTGAAATATTTTCTGTATTTAACGTTAGTATAACCATGTTAATTTGCATCACACTTGATTGATTGCCGTAGCAACAGGGAGAACACTTGTGAAATGATTATTAATTGATTATCATATCAAAGCAACAATTTAGTTTTGCACTTTATCATTGTCAGACTCATAATAGACAGTTGGAAAAAAAAGTCTTTCAAAAGTGATGCATCATAACTAGAAGCACCATCTTTGTTTTTTTCCTGTGCGTTCTTCTGCCTCGTCAAAGCATGCAACCTGCAGTACCCAAATTGTAGCCCACAAGATTCAGGTATGTTTTGATGAGTGGGCTGTAGATGTCTCGTAAGCACAGTTCTTTCTGTCTACACCCCCAGATATTGTCATTTTCAAGCTACGAATTTCTTCCCCAACCTACATGATGTCCTTGAGGCAACTGATGGGATTTTGCACAGCTTTCTCTAGAGTCACAGATTTCAGCTTTTTTGACAGACAGACTTGTAAACCGCAACTATAAACAGACTCTGATGTGTAAAATACTTTAAAATCAACTTTATGGACACTAGAGTGACGTATTGTTTAAAATAGAAGTTGAACCATGACCTGCTCTGCTGTGTCATTACACGACTGAGTTAATGAGCTCCAACCAACACACATTTTCCCACTTTGGGCAGATATGCGAATGAGTGCGTATTTGTTGGTGTGTGAGGGAGGAAGATGATTGCATGACTTGCATATACTTATTCTGAATCTTGTGGTACCTCAGTTTTTTATTTTTTTTATTTTTAGAATATGAAATTTAAAGAACATGTTATTCAAACAAGTACTTTGGTTGTTGTTCCCTGTTCCCAGCATGCAGTTCCCTTTGTGGCAACGGCCCTGGTGTTGTACCAGGATCTAAAGGCTCCTCCAGCAGCTCTCTGATGCACTCTGTCATGAAGCTGTCCTCAGGGCTCGCTTCAGACAACAGCCCCATCCAGAATCTGGCTTTCTCTCTCTTGACAAACCTGGCCGTTTCACGTGACTGCAGATGCCTCCTGCAAAAGGTACATAAATTTAGCAGGCGAGACAAGTGCCAAATCCCGGCGAAAAAATAAAGGCATTAATATAGCTCAGTGATATTGTTTGTTTTTCTGTGAGATATGAATGATTCAGAATGGGTAGCATCAGGTTTTTCCTCCCTAATTAAAAAGTTTTTAAAGTTTATTTTCAACTAACTGTGAAAAACTAATTCACAAGTCAAGTAAATATAACCTCCGTGAGACAGAGTGTTAGAGAACAAAAAAATGTACTGCACTGGTGATAAATGACAGAAGCTACTCTCACACTTACCCTGTCCAAAATCTCTCCTTCACACCTACGCTGTGCTCACTGCAACACTTAATGATTTGTTCGTATGAGACTAAAGCTTTCATCTCTGTCTTGTCTGGTTAATTTCCTGTCGTTCTCAGAATAATTTCCTTCAGGCTTTCCTATCAGTGCCAGTGCCCAAGGCGTCCAGTGTTAAGGCTGCGTCTTTAGGTGGCGGTGGAAGCCTCCTGGGCCTGTGGCTGAGACTGCTGGTCAGTCTCTCGTGCGCGGAAGATGGCCAGCAGAGTATCCTTAGGGTGACCGGAGCCCTGGAACTGCTAACAGACTTGGCAACACATCGGCGACATGCGCTGCTCACCCTTCACAACCTTTGCTTCTGCTCTGCCAACAAGTCGCATGTCATCGCAAACGGTATGGAAAGAAAGCAAGAACCGCATTTATTACTTCAACACACAAATACGAAAGTGTCAAATCAGCAAAGTGCAAAAAAGCAGGTTTGACAGAAGTGTGTCAAGTCAGTAATTAGGGTAAAAATCTGAGCAGTTGAATCTTCCCCCATTTGTTTCCTTGATGATTCACAGACCACAACAAGAGTGCGGTGCGCTGTGTGTTGCTGTATTTCTGGTCAAAGTTCAGTCAAATTGTTGGGGCATGCAGATGTGTATCTTGTCCTGCATGCTCTACTTAGGAGCCACCTCGCCGAAACCAGACAGAGTATTTCCAGAAGTGAGCATGTGTCTGACGCGGAGAGCCTCCCGTCTACGTGTTCTACGTGTGTGAAAGGGAAACCCTGGACAAACTCCAGACTTGATTCTCCAAACATGATTTGGAGTTCATGTGTGAAATTGGCTTATGTCTGTTTACCAAAATGTTAAATAATCCTTTAGTATCAGTGGCGGCTGGTGAAAATTTTTGGTG